GTTAATAGTGTTTTAATTAAACACACGGAAGAGTATAATATAATTTGTAAAAAAAACGCTGCCATATATGTCATGTCCTATTGTATAGTATTGTTCACTCATGAAAAATACCCATTTTCCACCACAGTACAAAGTACAGTACAGATAACATTATACGCAAAACTTTAAACAACAATATTTCAAACGAACACTCAGTAAGGATAATACGAACTGTACTATCATCGCGTAGAACAAAAGAAAAAAGCCGAAGAAAGGGGCAAATGATCGATGGGGCTAGGTGAAGCGATGGGTTTACAAAATAACCTCATATAAATCTATTTTATTGCCATATCAGACGATATGAGGTAAACAATTCGTCTCTTGTTCGACGGGAACGGGAAATGGGATATTTTGTAACACAGATTAGATATCTATATACTTACTTATATATAAAGCTGAAGAGTATGTATTTTTGATCGCGCTCATCTCGGGAACTACTGGTTCGATTCAAAACATTATTTTTTTGTTGATTAGAGAATTTATCGAGGAAGGTTATAGGCATTGCGCTATGACTAATACAAACGAAGATACAGCGGGAAATGTGAACAAAACTGGGAAAATTAATCATCATTATGGGTTTCCATTGTACACTGTCAAAACAGTTTAAGATACGAATAAATATGTATAAAAGAATAGGTGGTATTTCACATTCCAATAACGATGGGACACGTGGGATGAGAAGCTTTTAAAAAACCACTGGGGGGGCCCAAAAACCCTTTTTCCCCCAAAGCGGCGCCCCGGCCCCCGCGTTTCCCCCCCCAGATTTTTTTTTTTTCTTCTTTTTTTTAATTTGGGGGTTTTTTTCTCCCCCTTTTTTTTTTTGTGTAAAAAAAAAAAGAGCCCCCCCCCACCCCCCCCCAAAAAACCCACACCCGATGCGCCGTCGACTTATATTGGCCTTGGATAATCGAAAGACTGAAACCGAAAAGCGATTAAACTTCACATGTGGATGCTGGTTCTTAGAAGGGATGGAATTTCGACGTTGCAGCCACCATTTTAATATTCACACGAAGTCAAAATTTTTTTTAAGTACATATTGATTAGAAGTATCACGGTTCCGGTGGGTATCAAACCCACGACTTTTTGATGGCTAATCGCCATACTGATACCTATAATTGTACCAACGAGCCCGTTTTCTTTGATGCCTAAATTACTACATAACTAGATAAAGAAACAATTAAAAAACACTAATATATTATTTGACTATCAAAGTATGAATCCTGAAAACATAATTTGTTACATGTTATTGACTTTATTTAAAAATGAAAATAGTTGAAAAAATGTTCGACTCGGACAGACTGAAGGCTTCCGTGCTGTTGCTCTCTCAAAAACCGGTAGCTCAATTATAATAGTGAATCCTATTTGAATAAAACATTTTAACGGTTTGAAAAGCGATATATTTTAGTTAAACTTGTTTGAAAATTATTTTTAACTACGGCCCGACGTTTCGTCCGAAACGAAAAGAATATATCGCGTTTTGAACCGTTGAAGTGTTTTATTTAAATGTGTAGTACTCGCGTAAACTACAGACAGTATTTAATAAATCCTTATCAACGTGTTTATATATAGTCGCGCTTATATCAAACACAGCGTACTAATATCTTATATAATTTTTTTTACTTGGATAAATTTTAATATAAATGTAATTAAACAATTAAATTTATGAAATGTTTGATAAGAATTTAACTCCATTACAAGTAGTTTGACACCTCGTCTTAAGGGTTCTGTATTTTAAACGCTATAACGCAATATATCCTACATACATACTCGGAAAAACTCTTGTTCGTTTAGCATCGATCGTCGGAAAAACTCGAATAACACTTACAAACTACGACTACCAAATTTTTCGAATAGCGAATAATTTTTTAAGTTCGAATTGTGCCCGAATTTGTAAGTTGTATCTTCGACGGAACAACTAAGCGGCGTTTTGCTTATTCCGAAAGCAAATAAAAGAATACAACTGGTTCATTTTCAGCTCGGGCAATAAGCTAAATAAGTTTTATTTGAGCTACAACTTCACTAACATGATTATTTTGTTCCCAGGCTTTCCTAGTTTAACGTGAAATAATTTCGTTTGTCCATATAACATTGAATTAAGTTGTAATTGACAGCGCTTGTCTAATGAGAAGCTAAATATTACACACTAGCTGAACCGGCATGAAATCGGCCGTTTTGGTGAAGCTGTAACTCATGATACAACTCTAACAAATAATTAGTATTTGTAAACATTAATATTGTTTACATGTTATTGCACATGAAGGCACTATATAATTTAAAAATCGAAAATAAATTGAAAAAAAATTTCGACTCGGGCAGGACTTGAACCGGCATCGTCAGCGTTCCAAGCAGAGCAACAGCACGGATTATTTTCTTATTTTTATTATAATTTCAAAAAAAATAATGATTTTATTTTAATTTAATCAATACAATTAATAATGCTCCAGCATTGCGTTACGAAAGCATATATCGCGAGCATTTTTACCGAGCGGACTAGAAACATAATATGAACGGGATAAAAACGAAAGGGGAGGTATGCCTAGGTATTCCGTAGAAAATGGGTCGGCCTACTTTCGATCGAATGAAGGAAAATTGGCGGCGCGAGCGGTGCAGTTGTTTGTGTGAACGCTCGAATTTAAAGGAAATTAATTTTGACGTCGCCCTCAGGTGTACTAGTTCTATTTTTATCTTGCTTCATTTGAAAACGAGCTGTACGCTCTCCCATTCAACCGTACATGTCGAATTAAATACTGTCTATAGCTTACGCGTGTAGTACACATCTAAATAAAACACTAACGTCTCTGTCTCCCCGTGACCACGGCTGCTGCAAGGCAAACGAAACGTCGGGCCGAAGTTAAAAATCATTTTCAAATAAGTTTAACAAATATATCGCGGTTTAAACCATATCGAATTGTAAACCTGCTTTTGAAATATTTGCTATTGAGGTTTTCTGGTGCGAAGTTTTCAATTTTTTCTTTGTAATTAAAAGACACGTTAGATAGTCGAACCCACGGCTAAAAATGTGAATTGTCCTTTTCTATGTCTATACTAATGTATAAAGCTGAAGAGTTTGTTTAAATCCTCTAATCTCAGGAACAATTAATTCGAATTGAACAATTATTTTTGTGTTCGTTAGACAATTTATCAATTAAAGCTATAGTCTATAACATATCGCGATGTGACTAATAGGAGCGAAGTAACAGCGGAAAGCATGGAAAAGACGAAGAAAATAATTCATTTTTGAGTTTTTCCGTTGCGTACGGTGCGAAAATGGTTCTAGATACCAAAAAAATATATAAGAAAATTTATTACTCTTAAATACTATACTATATTTCTAACTTGCAAGAACGACGGGACGCGACTGACGTCGTGGGTAACACCTTAAGATTATAAAATTAAACAACAGGTTTTAGGTTTTAGGCAAAACGCTGACTCCACCAGTTAATTATAAAACAATGTAATTGATATATTATCAAAAAAAGTACCGCGTTCGAGTAAGTAGCTACAACACTGATTTTCAGCGAATCTCTAGTAAAAATTAAAAAAGTAATAAATAAGATATTTTAACGGTTTTATACGAGAGTAGTTTAAACGTAAAAATGCGTTCGAGCCGACTTTAAGTTTAAAAAAAGCTATTTAAATAAAACACTTTCAAATCTAAAATATTAGTCTCTTTAGCTAAAAAAGGAATCGCTTTAAATGAATATCTGGCTGTCTACTAAATTATTAAATACACTTCACATTGAATTCTCAAAGGGTTCACTTCAGATGTCGTTTTAATGTTGTGTTCTGAAGACAACATAAAAACGAGATAGGGATGATAAGATGCTTAAAATATAAATTAAAATAAAAGGACTTTCATATAGATATTATTTATCTATATAATCACTAATACTTAATCGCGATGTTTACTATTATGATAGTTAGTCAAGGCACAGAAGTCACGTCGACTACTTGTCTATAATAACAATGGTTAATTCACATAAAACATTTTTAACAGTTTACAACTCGCAATATATACGCCATTGTCGCGCGGTGTTGGCTGCTGAAAAACATCGGAAACGTCGTGCTGTTGTTGAAATAAATTGTAAATAAGTTAACTAATATATTTCGTGTTTACAACTGTTTAAATATGTTTTATTTAGGTGTATACTACTCTTTTATACTATAGACAATACTTAACGGTAAATCTGTAGATGTCCCCTGCATAGAGAAAAATTAGAGTTTCGACTTTTTAAACCTTGTAGAAAACGTCACATGTATTTATTATTATTTTACTACATTATGAAAAAAAATATCGATTTCTTGCTATCTGTAATTTTCGCAATAGTTTAACAAAATACTTTAACGGTTTAAAATGCGATATGTATTAGTTAAACTTATCTGGATATGATTGTAAAAACTAATACTATAATACAAGGGTTATTTTTATCGCTTAGCTTATTATCGAAATCAAAAAGTTATAATTTTCTTCAATGTTGACTCTTGAAGGTATAATACCAAAACTTGTATAGCAGTATTTTGTTTCGTAGCCCTCTACAGTTTTCTCGTAGATCGTACCGCGTAGCTATACGAGACGGATTGGCACCTGTTACTTGCGGTTCTGCTATTCGTCGCTAGATGGCAATAAAGAATATTTGTTTATATTTCAAATATCCATTTAAAATAAGCAATTGACTAGAAACTATATTCGGATAGAATTATATTCTACGATTATGAAAAGTGTTTTTTGCATTAATTAGTTAATAAACTTGGAAACATTTTACGTAAAATAATGCGAGATAGATATTACTTTAAATATTACGCTAGTTGAACGGTCACTTATCATTTTAAAATAACTTTCGTTCAAATTTTTTAAAAATATGAAGGAAGCAAAGAATAGCCAAAGAACGAAATCTGCCCGATTCCCAGCAGAAATTAAAAGAGATTACGTCTGCTGATTATATCAAACTGGTTCACGTGGAATGGGGCGGTCGCGGGCGAGGGCAAGAGAAACCGAGGGAGGGGTGGCGAGGGCCAAGCGCGAGTCGCACTTCGAAAGCAGTGCTCGCCTGACTCCTAACTTACGCGCATGTCCTTTGCGTCCGCCCGCCCTACAATTGCACACCGAGACTCCGTTACATAACCCCACGGGCGCACTTCTAATAGTGATAAGGCTTTTTTCTGTGATCATTAGTGTTTGCACGTTTTGCAAGTAGATAAGTTAGCATTACATAAGCCGCCGTCCACGTAGCGTCGCTTGCCACCGCTTTTGTGATACTCGGTTGTGATTAAGCAGGCTTTAGCTGTTGTGCTGTGGGGTTATCTTTACACTTGTTGATCGGAGTCCTGGTGTTCGTCGGGTCCGGGCGTAGCTTAGGACTTGTTGAGCGGTGATATGCGCGCGTAGCTCCCGAGCCTGGCTCGCCACGGATTCGCGCGGTTGGTGGCCGCGCGCCACGCCATCTGGCGGCTGCGACGATCTGGCTCGCAGCCGACACACAGCAATGACCACGAACAAACCAACCATCTGTATGTTTCTTCTCTCTATCCACTGTCTTGCAAGCTTTCCTCATTATCATTCGAAGCTCACTGGATCAGCCATTTATTTTAATTTCCATCAATGTCAAAAGGTCAAAGTTGAGCGGAATGTAAAGTCCGAGCCTTTTGTGTCCAGTGAATATTGTGAGCTCTTAAATTTTACTTTGCGCGCCCTCTGGCAAACTCAATCTTATTAAATCCTTCCTTCTTCTACACTAAATAAAATGTCATTAATAAATGTTACCCTGCAAATGTGTTTTATTTTGCGCTTCGATGTTCATCTGTTGGGAGTGGTATCGCCGTTTTCGATAACCTGCCTACGCGTTATACAACGGGTTTGGGTCGCACAGGTTATATAAAACGGCTTGTCAACGCTATGTGTTGTAGATCGATGTATAGAAAGCACCCAGTTGAGGGAGCGAGTAAGTTTGTATGCTTTATGTCGTAATATAGACAATCGTCAAAACTTAGTGTTAAGTAATTATATATGTACAACTGATTCGTTGATATTTTGTCAGGCTTACAAATTATATAGTCTACAGCCTCTGTATGATTCTGTTTCGGCTTTCAGAATCCGAAGTTTCGGTTAGATTTTAAATAAAAGTACCCTATAGTTTACGCGAGTAGTACACATTTAAATAAAACACTTTAACGGTTTAAAACGCGATATATTAGTTAAACTGATTTGAAAATGATTTCTCACCGTGACCACGGCTGCTGCAAAGCATCCGAAACGTCGGGCCGAAGTTAAAAATCATTTTCAAATAAGTTTAACTAATATATCGCGTTTTAAACCGTTAAAGTGTTTTATTTAAATATGTATACCCTCATCAAATTATAAACTTAACTAATACAATCACGTTTTAAACCGTTAAAATTGTCTTATTAAAATGTGTACTACTCGCGTAACCTACAAACCGTATTTAATTTTAACAGTATAGTGACTAAAGTTTGATTTTGGTAGTACGTACACACTTTTTAAATATCACTGTCGATATTCTGTGTACCACCCTATTGAACAAGAAGGGATATGATTTTGATACCAGATGATAAAACACAAATAAATGGTTTATATTACATAAAAACTAATAGATATAGATAGAACGACGAAATTGGATTACCACAAGAAAAGTTCTTGTGAGTAATAAAGAATAGATATATACTGTTGTTTTAGAGCAATTAAGAAAAAGTAATTAATTCATATACATATAAATTTTTCTTCTCACCTATTGACCGCACCATGATATTTTATAGCATAAAGTCTTACTCGATAAATGGTCCAACCAACATAAAAAAAAATTCAAACCGAACCAGTAGTACCTGGGATTAGCGCGTTCAAACAAACAAACTATTCAGCGTTATAACATTAGTATAGTTGTTTTGCCATTTAAATAATTTTACTATTATGTATATTAAAAAATAAGGGTTGATCGTAGAAGGGTGAAAATTGAGGATTGTATGTATTTTTGTATATTGTATCATAAAAAAATAGAAATTAAAAATTTTGTTCAAAAATTTAAAAAAAATTAAGGGTGAACCACCCTTATCACTTAGGGGGATGAAAAATAGATGTTGTCCTATTCTCAGACCTATTGAATACACATATGAAATTTGGTGAAAATCGGTCGAGCCGTTTCGGAGGAGTTCAAGTTCGAACACCGTGACACGAGAATTTTATATATTAGATACAAACGGCGGATTTATATTTAAACATAGAACGTTCTTATTAAATAAAACTCAGCAAATTATTATATACGCCATAGTACTATAAATAAATATATTTTTCATTTGAAACAGTTTAAATTGTTTTATTTAATGAGTTCATGCTATTAATAAAACTTGATATGCTCTTGTAATTTAGGGACCCAAATCCAGGTCAAGAGAACCCTGTTCTGTTTCCTTATTGAAATATTCCAGAACGTATAATGAATAATTTTGGATTACCATTGCTTTTACATAAAGGAGTTTATTGCCGCATCGGTACCAGATTTTCATATTTATGAGAATATATTATTTGTATATCGTTGTCGTGTGTGAGATTGGTTACGTTTGGGGCATAAATAATTCCTTCGACGTATAAATTCTTGTATTAGAATCGTTGAGTTTACCGAGACACATTCTGGTTTTGAAGACTATAGTTCTTTCTTCCTTTACCCCGTTGAAAAGTTTGTTTATCTACTTACCTCTTAATGTATAATCGATAAGTGAAAGCATTCCGTTTGGATGACATCTCTGTGTCCGATTCTCTGATGTGTTTTTATTCACAAGCAAGTAGTTGATCACGCTTCTGTGCCCTGCCTGACCGAAACAATTTACTGTTTCCCCGGGATTCGAACACAGTCAACCCGTTTAATGATTTAGCTACAGTGACGATCGATTTGTGATACGGCCACGAAAATGTGGATGCCTCGTTAAGAAATCAGTATTTCAAACACAAAGGCACATATTATTACTTAATTTTTTCTCCTGATTTTGATTTATGCTTTAGTAACTATGAATCACTAGATTTATAAAACTAACTAGTAATATTAATACGTAACATTTCGAGCTATTAGTGAAAAAATTAAAAATATCAACAGCTTATCGGGCCGTAGATAACAAATTTTCAAACAAGTTTAACTAAAATATATCGGGTTTTAAACCGTTAAAACGTTTTATTTAAATGTGTACTACTCGCGTAAACTACAGAAAGTATTAGATAATATATTTTCTTACAATAAATCTATAATTTTTAATACCAGTACAATAAGAGACACGTTAGGTACTAAAACTACGGGTAATAAATGACCAATAATGAGTTATAGAAATATTGCATTGAATAGTGCAGCCATAAGGAAACTTGATCAATAAATTATTAGACATAGAAATGATTTCGCCCCATGCCCTACTGGAACGGGGAAACAGGAATTTACCCTGCCACCACAAGTCTTTAAAGCCATTATATGTTAATACATATCTCAATTATGGAAAGTAATATTAAATAAAACATTATGATGTACGTACATACAACACACAATATTGTAAAAAGTACATTTGGTGTAACCTCAAAAATTTAATTTCAAGTATTCAGACGCCATATTTATGCCAACCCCAACTTCGTAATATCAAAGGAGCTCTAGTTATTTTCAGCACCTCCAACGCATTTGTCACGCCTCAAGAACGAGGTTATTCTTTATAACAAAGCTAAACTTATAGCTGCTTCAAAACTTTAAGGCTGCGGTCTCCTAGAACGCTTTAGATCGCGTATAATCTCAAGCGTTGATCTATTGTTGTTGTCTCTTTCATACTTTGACATTAAGCATTAATGCGAAACATATTGGACTTCGTCTGGGAATCTGGATAATTAATGGGTGGTAGGAATATCGAAATTCTGAACCATCATCTACAGATTAAAAAACCGTGAAGTTTAATCACGGTTTCAATGCTTCTTATTGAGATATTATTGTTCTGTGCTAATGATAATAATAATTGTGAAATTAATATAAAGGTATTTTGTCTCCATCAAGAGAATCACATGTTTGTCTGTCCTCTCCTAAAGTGACACGACAATAAATTATATATAAGCTAATTAAGTATTCGTACATGATGGTACTGACAACTACCTGTCGCGCTGTAATTTATTTTTTAATTTAGAGGAGGACAGACACGCACAGGGTTTACTTGATGGCAGGTGATATACCCCTATAGCATCTAAACAAGATGCACTGTCAAGCTATTTTGGCTTTGGATATTTGGAAATCCACAGACTAAAACCGAAACGTGATTAAACGACACGGCTTTTTTATCTGTAGTGGTTCGTGACCCGGAGTGTATTCCTATATTCCTATAACTCATTTAATATCCAGATTTCCCGACGTCCAATGTTTAAAAAAATGTAAATTGAAGAATTTTGGACCCGGTGGGGATCGAATCCACGACGATTATTAGCCATACATTGCTACCAACCAACATACTCGACAAAAAAGTTTCTTGACGCTGGGTAGCACGTGCGATTTATAGCGCCTATATCAGACCGCAGCCTTAAATATTATTCCGGACACGTGCCCGCCTCCATCACGTCGGGACTTCGGCGTTCATGATGAAAACATATTAGGAACCTATTTTAGTACTGGGAATTTCGAATTATTTCGCGATCGATTTAGTCGAAATGTTTATTCGCAATACAATAATTTGTTTATAATTTTGTAAGCTTAAATAACAATATTTGGCTAAGATGCTTAGTTTGAGTTTAGATATTATTACAATTTCTTTTTTGCTTCATTTATTGGTTACTGTGTTATCACTTTAAAATAAAACACTTTAAAGGTTTAAAACGTGATATATAGTAGTTAAACTTATTTGAAAATTATTTTTAACTTTGGCCCGACGTTTCGGATGCTTTGACGGAGAGACTCCCCGTGACCACGACTGCTAAACCGTTAAAGTGTTTTATTTAAATGTATACTACTCGCGTAAAGAAAAGAACACAAAACATAAATAAAAATCACTTCAACGGTTTAAGACGAACCACTCTCCCCGTGACGTCTGCTACAAAGTATCCGAAACGTAGTATAACTAATACATTTCGCGTTTTAACCGTTAAAAGTGTTTTCTATGTCTCGCTACAGCTACGCTAAATTACAAAAACCCATTTTACATGGCAAACTACATCAAATTTGATGAATGAAGTCTTTGTACCTAATTGATCAAACGTGTTGTCTAGGATTGCGTTAGGCACACGAGGTCCTGGGTTCGAATCCCGGGTAAACAATAGATTGTATCAGTAGGGCACAGAAGTCTATAAATGAAGCCGATCAGTGAAACGGACACAGAAATATGGTCGACCCATGCCCCACGACAGGAAACAGGATTTAAATTTTGATAGCCGTTGACCTTAGTGCCCGTGAACGAAACTATTATTGACTGGAATTGGAATCCTAGACCTTTTGCATTAAGCTGAATGCGATGTTATTGAGCTACGGAGGGTAGGGAAAGCTAAAGTGTCCAATCATTAAGTTTATAAATGTCATGTCGTTTTGCGTTGTATTTCATCGAA